GTCCCTTAACTTTTACATTTATATTAAAATTGTCTTTTAACTTCAAAAAATATCAAAATTATCCTCAAACTTTAATTTTTAATACCAAAAAAGTACTTCCTTTAATAGAAGTATTACATACCTCGTTAATTTTCACAAATCAGTTTTTTTTTTAAATATTTATAATGTGTAAAATCAAACAATCATATTTTTGACATTGTGACATATTTCTATTTGCATATCAAATTGATATATAATTAAAATTGAAAAATTAAATTAATATTTGTAATCAAAGTTTAAGAACTAAATTGGTATTTATCTTCAAGTTTAAGGACTAAATTGGTATTATCTTCAAAATTTAAGAACTATTTTGGTACAAGAAGTCAAAGTTCAAAAAAAAATTTGATACTTTCTAAATTTGAGGAATAATTATTTTTTTTTTTAACAAGTTTACATTTAAAGAAGAGAGATTTTAGCATCAGGAGTTTCGGGTCAAGTGACATCTTATCATATTGTGGTGCATTTCCCCTCGTTCTTGACGGGTTCGAGCCCGCCCTTAACAAATTGTTCAAAAAAAAAAAAATTCTAACTCAATCTAAGGGGTTGAGGGTGCACCTTATTAATTATTTAATTTAATTAATATAATAAATATATTCTTAATGTATCTACTCATAAATTTATTAGAAGAATGTTAATAATTTAATTTGATAATGTCAAAGAGCCTGCCTCACCTATAAATAAGTGAGTGTAGTGTGTGGAGGGCAAACTACTCTCTACATTTCTGATTAGTTTATACTTTATACCAAACATGAAAAGGAACGTTTGCCAATAATTTAAGCAGTCAGGCGATAACCATCTTTCTGTGAAAATACATGAGATGTTGTGTACGCAATTGAGTTAACGAGTACCGATGGCAGAGGGCTATTTTTTTTATTGTTTTTTAATTGTGGAACTCAAAATAAAAAATACAATAACTTACAAAATCAACGGTATAGAGCAAGTCAATCTTTATCCGTACGTCAGCCTACAGCGTGCTGGCCCATTTACGGTGATATACTGGGGATTAGAAATGAAAGCTCTGCGTAAATGTAAACGTAAAATATATATTGATAATGTCTGTTTATTTTACTTTTTAAATATTTTAAAAAAATTATTTTAAAATTATATTATTTTAATTTCAAT